CCTCTTATATGGGAAAATCTTTGCCCTTACATCTTGCAGATTATGATCTGCCCTGAAATCCAAACAGTTGGATATACACTTCAGCGCAATTTGATAGTCCATGCCTACCAATGTGATTTTCATACCAATCAAGAGAAGCATGCAAGGCGTAATTCATGCTAGCAAATGCATATCCAAACACATACTATGTGATGATAGTGTAAAATATACGGTAAACCAGAACATGTCTTCATTGATTCATTCAAGGTATATACTTTTCAAACAAACTTTCAATGCTGATCAAAAGGAGTTAAAACAGAAGCAGCTAATAATATTTCCGTGCTCATGGACACATGTAATTATTTTGTGTTCTGTCATTGTAGATGAGCTTTTTGAAAAAGGAAAACCTGGAGCACGAGCTCCCACATGACCACATGAAAGGGCATACCTATGTAGGGTCTGGGGTCACCGGAAAGAGGAGGAGGGGAGGGGGTCATAGGCTCTCCATTTTTGGGAAAAAATACTACAACCCCCTCTAATATCTTATTAACAAACAAATTATACAGAGTACTTCACAAAAAATATTTTTTTGCAAAGTAAATGTCTTATTTTGAAAATGTTTTAGCTGAAGTAAATAATGAACTGAATCAAAATGGTGCATGAAACATCCACTACTTTTTACTTTCTATGAAGGCTTGGGCAACACATGCATCAATGCACCAAGGGTCTAACGGAAAGTCTTTGTGTTTTCTACATTGGTCAAGCTGTGTAATCTTGACCCCAGACCTAACAGACTTGGGATTGATATGTGTTTGTTAATGTATATGTCTTTTGTGAATTAAATTTAAATAAAAAAACAGTCTGGAATTGCTCATGACTTCTAATTCACTCTGGAAGAAAGCAAGGATTCAAAATCCCAAATCAAGCAAGCAACTATTCTATCTGTCCACTATTTTTACCCTTTTGTTACTCCCACTATTATTGTTTCATACAAGATTTTATCATATTTGTGTGGTTCACATTCATTCTTACTTTATTATTTTTTATCTTTCTTTTTAACATCAATATCAATTACACAATCCTACTTTCCTTAGGTCTCATTACACTCCCTAATGTCCCAAAAATAGTTGGATGGAGAGTGTATATCAGCATCTGCTTTCCAACAATTTGCAAAGGTTTTCATGGTAAGATATGTAAATAGAATAGAATCTTTTTGCTAAGTTAATTCTAATATGGCAGATCGTTGAGGAGAAATTGTGAAAGCGAGAATTGTCTTGTCAAAATAAAATGTAGGGAGAGAAGAAGATGAGCAGGGTTTGGAAAACTTGCATCACACCTCAGTTTTTCAAGTGGGACGCAGCCTAAATCAATGTTACAAATTGGGCAACATTCTGTCTCCTCGTCCGAGAGCTTCTTGTAAATGCATCTCCTGCAAACTGGGTAAAGTTCCAAACAAGGAAAAAAGTGAATAGAGAAATAAAACTTGCAAATTTTGCTTGAATCAAAATGATAAGCTAGATCATCAGACTCAAACTTGTATTTTCAAATCATAATGGAGTAAAAAGTAATGTAAAATAGTAGAGCTAGTTAATGCAGAATAAGGAAAAGTCTTAGCAGTTTTGCATGTATATTAATGTAAATGACTTGCAGGGTAAAAAGATTAGTATAAATATAATTTAATAATGAGTGCAACACTTAAGAATTTTTCCATGCAGTAACAGTCACAGTATGGCCTTTATAAGAAAGATGAAACTTAAAACTGTAAGCATATACTGACAAAGGGCAATCTTTTAGGGGAGCAAGTGAAGCTTCTGCTCAGGGTCTATAATTTGGTGGGCCCAATTTTTTTAAAAATAATGTGTTAATGTATATGTATTAAAAAAAAGATCCGATTGACAAACTTATAAGTCCCCAATCAAATTTCTGTTCTTTTGAAGTTTTGTTTGTTATATTGATTTTTAAGTAATGCCGCATGGTATTCTAATGAAATAGATAATCACTTCTATAAAGAAGCGGAATGTCTTTTTCAGCTGGGCCAAATTTTCAGTTTCAGCTCCAGGTCTAGATACTATATGAGACGGCTGATATTGTTAGCTAAGTCAATTATGAGCTTCATGTTAGATTCTCAGTAAAGTCTTTAAATTAAACTTCGCAAATCCAAAAGCAAATCGGATAGTAACAAAGAGTTGTGGGTCATCTGGCAAATATGGAACAATATCTAGAGGCAATCAATAAACCCAGGTAAAATAGAGCAATCATAGATCGTAAATGGCCAAAAATGCAAATGCAATTGGAAACACATCAAAATGAATCACCATTGAATCAGAGAAAAATGGAATCGCAGATGAGCGGAAGGATGGAGATGGGGGCTTACACGTATGAAGGCATTCTGAAATGGTGGTCGCATCTCTGAAGAGCTTACTGCAAAGAGGGCAGGTCATGCATGCCGCAATTGTTTCTCTCCTCACCTTCACCACTTGATTCGACATCTTCCTCCCGCACTGTTCTTATCTTCCCCGCAATCTATCAGCTCGTCGCCCTGGAAATCGGAGCCTCCGATTCCGATAAGCTTCGGATTAAACAGAAGAAACTCGGCGTAATTGAGCGGTCGTGCATGCTAGCAGCGCCGCATGAAACGCAGAACTTGCGCTCACTCCCGCTCCCGAATCTGCATTAAACTCAAACGCAGTACTCGCAATCGTCACACAATGAATTAAAGGCACGGAATACCGACAGAGATTGGAGTCGGAGGACGAGAAACCTTTGAATCGGCGGGGTTGAGGTTCGGATGGATTTGATTTGGGGGGAAGTGGACGGCGACTTTGGAGACGGAGGGATTTTGTCCCGGCGGCAGTTCGCCGGCGATCTGAGAGTATTATGAAGGAAATCGAAGAGCAGCTTTAGCTCGCAAGAGCATGAACCCAAACAGTGAGAGATTATTACAGATTTGTTTAGAGTGCTCTATTTTTTTCTGCTCGCATTATTTTTTGTATTTAAATTTGCCTTTTTTAAGGATAAATTTGCCTATTGATGGAATACTCCTACTTTGTTCCTCATGCTAGCTTTTGTTAATTTATAGAATATGATTATAGATTTTAAATGATAGATAACTTGTTTGTAAATATTTATTAATGGTGAGGGATATTCAAAAACAGATAAACGAAAAACTGATTAAAAAATAAATACCTAAAACTTACTTATGTTTTCTGCCTTATAAACTGATAATGACCGCACAGAAACATGTAATCAGCTGATTTATAAGTTAAAAACTACTTATAAGCAATTTTGACCTGCTTATAAGTACAAAGAAAAACCACTAATTCTATAAAACCTTCCATTCTTGATGTAATGACGCCTTTTTTCAATTTCTTCCAATTTCTTTCAACTCGTTTTATTTTTTTCAATTTCTTTCAGTTTTTTATAATCTCATTTAATTTCTTCCAAACTTTAAGTTTCTTCCAACTTATTCTACTTTCTTCCAACAGTGATTTAAAAAATCATTTGGATACATTTTTCATATTTTGTTCTATGTATATTTTTTAGATTGTTATTATTATTATTAGAATATAAAAAAATGATTCAATCTCATAAATTATTAAACTTTTCCTTAGTCCTCAAAATAAACTCTAATTAAATAATATATGTGAAAATAGAACATTAATGCTCAACCTGTTACATTCGCGACAATGAAAACTCAAAATAGAAAAAAACACTCCTCCCTTCTAATATATTTTTCCAATTTAGTTTTTTTGAGTCAAACTAGTCAAATTTTTGGGCTTCAATTAAATAAAAATTGTAATATATTTTAAAATAAAAATGACATTATTTGAATTTATCGTATTGAGAACTTTCAAAAATTATATTTCATTATATTGATATGTAATACAAATTGGGAGTAATTCGAGTCAAAGTTTATATAGTTTGACTCGAAAAAGTCAAACTGAACAAAATACACTGAGACATATATAGTATACTTTAAGAAGAAACCTTGTTAAGAAGAAAAAGATAAAAGAAATGGAGAATTTACATAAATAGTACTTGATGAGTGTATTTCACCCATGACCGGTCAAAGGTCAGAGCCAAATAGTTGACTGGTCAAAGAGTTCGAACTTGGAAGAGAGATGAATCATCACTGGAAGGATAGAGGGTTGACCCAAAAAGTTGACCGGTATATTTCGGATAGTATACCGGTCAAACCATGTCGGCGTCTAATTCATCCTTTGGGGTTAGCGAATCTAACCTCCAAGAACCAACTGGTGCAGTTTTTAATGATTGGAAGAGTCCAAAAGGACTTGGACTGTAGTGGTTGGCATTGCTGGGGACTCAGTGGAGATGCTGAAGGAATATTTCCAAGCCAGAACGCGACAAGGGAAGTAATCCCCCTCACAAGGCGACAGGGCAGCTCAAAGACGAAACTAGTCATCTCGCACCACATCAGCAGCGTGCCCCCACATGGGTGCACGTGGTCTTGTCCTCCTTAGCCTAGTATAAATACTCATGTAAACCTTTGAAAGGGGGATCCGAATTCATTTTCTCTAAACTCCCTTGTAAAAGCACCCGTGCATTCTCCGTTATAATATAAATTGGGCTACAGGTGTTCCACCTAAAGTCTTACCGGTCAATCTGCGTGTTTTTACTCTTCTTACTTTGCCGAATCAAACAAATTATTCTAGACCCGGTGTAGTATAGTTTGACCGGTCAAGTAATTTACACCATCAGTACTAAAATATAGTGACTTTCTCAATGTAATATCATATGTTTTTATTTGTCAATGTAGTACCACTAGCCATTTTACACTGGTCACTGTTCAAGTAAATGTCCATCGCCGGCTCGCCGCTGGACATTGTTCAAACTAAATATGCATCATTACTAGACATTGTTCTTGCCACTAGACATTATCCAAGCATTATTTAGAGAATAAAAGATACAAGTGTTACATTGAGAAATAACATACAGAGTATGTTTTAGTGCTATTTACTATAAATATCACAAAAGAAAGATGTAGTATTTATTTGAAACAAACAATGAAATAAAGAGTATAATTTTTTTTAAAAAAAACTGTACTTATTACTCCATCCGTCCCAAAATATTTACAACATTTGTTTTTTCAGCAATTGCGGGAAGTTTTGTTTATTTCTACGTTTTCATTGGTTATTTGATAAAATAAAATATTTTTGCCACATCTTATTTCGAAGAACTTTTCATGTAGTTTTTTGATATGTAAATTTTTTTTTTATACCAATATGTAAATAAAATGAATTGAAAAAGATTGATATTTTATCTCGAGAATAAGTGTGACAAATATCTAGAGACGGATGAAGTATTATTTTTTGGAATACCAAAAAAAATCGATGGATTTTTTTAGGACAACTAGAGTAGAGATTGGGAGCCAATTGCAAAATGATTCCTTTTTTATTCGAATTTGGTTTTAATGGTGTATATTATGTAGGGGTTTAATTACTAGTTTTGAAATAAAAATAATAAGTATTTTTCTTTAAATCATTCTTGGAAGACAAAGTATAGATTGTAATAGCCCAAATAAACATGCACTTTATTTTCTTTAATGATGAATCATGTAAACCGTAAATCCTTTCTTTTAATATAATATTTAAATGATGACATGTGAAATATCTACGTGGAATTTTTTAATGATGACATGTGAAATATCTACGTGGAATTTTTTGACACGTCAATGATGACTGTACATATTAATTGAATCTAAAAGAATTTCTAAAAAAGACTTTATATATGGAAACTTTACTTCCCTTAAAATTTAAAGATTACTTCCTTAAAAATGCAATACTTTCTTTTACATATTTATACTCCGTACTTTATAAGTATGTATTTAAGTAATAAAATTTTTCAATTTTAATAGCTACAGATATTAAGATTTTACTTCTTCTAAAGAACATTCATATAATATAAAGATAAAACATGTGTAAGAGCATAGTTGAATTCACATATCCATAATTGTTAGAAAACATGAAAGATTATACTTTCTTTATGGATAAAACATTATTATCACCCGCACTTAAAGTTGTTGAATGATAAATGAATTTGTTTTGTCTCTTTTTCTTGGTGATGGTCTGATGGAAAGGAATATTTGATTTCTGATTCTTCATGTCAAGTAGATTCAGATGTAGGCATAGATGGTAATCGTATAAGGACTGAGTTTTTGAACAATATAAAATATTTTGAAATTCTGATCCACAACATAGCTTAGAAGAAAGGAGTATCATTCATGTTATTGAGAAACACTGATCAAACATCCGAGCTGTGTAATGGTACAAGGTTAATCATTGGAGAGTTGCGAAAAAAATGTTATCGGTACAATTGTTGTGTCAGGGAAGAATGTCAGGGAGAAAGTTTACATACAAAGAATCAATTTGGTACCGTTTGATCTTGAATGACAATTTAAGCTTCAGAGAAGATAATTCCCAATATTTTTATTTTCTGCCATGACTATCAATAAGAGTCAAGGCCAAACATTGTTATTTGTTAGATTATTTTTTTTGTAGTTTCACGAGTGAAAGTAAAGACATGATTGAAAGTGTTAGTTTTAGATGACACCGGTAACTCTTGCAACTTCACTAAAAATGGAAAAACTCGATGAAAAAAAAGAAGATAGCACAGACGGAGATCCTCGGATTTGGAGGGATTGAGTTGGAAGGAAAAAAGGAAATTGATGCTAAAATTTTGGGTGTCCTCCCATACATAAGTGGAAGTCACACAAATGTTGAGACAAAAATATATAGACAGATACTTTTTTTTGAATGAACATATTGACATATACAGAAAAAAAATGGTAAAAGATTGATAAGAGAAAAAATTGTTTAAATAAAATATGAAAAGATTAATAATGATTTCAACACATTTCATTTTTTCAACTCTTTGTTTTTTTCCAACACATTTTTAGAGTAATCAGACTAAACATGAAGGCAACAAGATTACGAGAGAATTAATTGGCAGTTCATAAGACCTAAGCTTTAGTACGTAATATCTAGTTTCTAGGGTGTATTTACTGAATCTTTATTTAGTTTTAAAGGGTCAAGGCTATAATAATGATTTCATATTTGGTCAAAATGTCAAAATAAAATTGGAGTGAATTTAGCGTTGGAAGGGGTGGTTATCACCACCCATACAATATACATTAAAAGCCAACATTACAATAGAGTCATGATGCAATATGCATTGAAGATCAATGTTACGAGGTATTACACAACCGTGAAAGTCAATGCATTGAAGACCACAAGCATAGTCACAAATACATTATGCTTTAAAAACTAACATTACAAAAAATCCGTGAATGCAATAGACGTTAAGTAATATTTTAACAAGATGGAAATAAAAATTAAATATTTGTGTAATGTGCATATCAAACACAAAACACTTGTTTTCAGATAAGACTATGATTATATCGTACGTGACTTGTCTTCTCATAATCTCATTATTCTATCAGGTTGGGATGTAGGGCTACCAAATTGTATGTTCTACTTATTTTTTCAAATACTCTCTCAATCCATAATTATTTTCCCATTCAACTTTCAATAGTCTTTAATGTAATATTTTAATAACTACTTTCTCTCATTATATATAGATAGGTATATGTTATAAAAAATATATGGAATAATATTTCAAAACTAAATTTTAAAAGAAATACTCTGCATATTGATATTAAGAATCACTAAGGTCTTCATGACATTGCCCAGCAATGTCATGAGATGACTCGTGAGTGCTTCGGTGTCCCGTTCCTAAAATTAGTGATTCATACCCTTTAACATCTCCGATAAATCCCCATACCCCCTTCAATTGCATCCCAATATCATGAGAACCAAAGGGTATTAAGTATATATGACAATTAAGTATGAAGTATATTTTTCTAGAATTTGTAAGCAATCTTTAAAAATATTGACCAAGAAAATTAAATTGGAAAGATTT